TCTCATCTATAATGTAGGGCATCAAGTTTTTGACATAAGGACCAATTAAGATAATTCATGTTAAGTATTTTGTAAAATATATATAGCCCCATGCAAATGTTACATTTATTCCTAGATATTTTATTATTTTTGATGCTATTTTAAAAGGAATTATTTCCTTAATTTATGACCTTATCTTTTATAGGGATGTACAGGTGTAGAAATAGAAACATGACAGGCCTATTTGGAATCAAGCTGACTGAATACTAACACTGAAATTCAGTACTGGCTGGAACTTGATTTTACCCCTATTAAAGATTAAACTAGTCAAATACTGCCTTCTAAAACATGACAGTGATCCTTTTGATAGTAGTGTTCCAGAACTTCTAATGTACTTGCTGAGTGTAATTAAGACTTGCGAAAGAAAAAGAACAAGGAAAGTTAACCTAATATAGCAAGTATGTTGCACTGTGCAAGCTTTCAGAACATATTGCATAAAACAGCCTTTTTAAAAAAAGAGTTTCCCTGAATCAAAAGGGACTTGACAGTTTTTTGAGCACTTATGTGCTACAGTATGCTATGAAACTACCAAAAGTTACCTTATTTCATACCGAAACTCAAGGGTTAAGTTTCCTAAAATCACATGGATATTCAACTTTGGAGCAAGACTCCAACATAGATCTGCCTGGCTCTCAGGTCCAGGTACTTTCAACTCTACTCAAAAAAGCTAATATCTACAATTCTCCCAGCAATTTTTTCCTTCTTTGAGACTGAGTCCATTCTGTCACCCTCAGTACAGTGCAATGCATCATACCTCACAGCAACTTCAAACTCTCAGGCTTGAGCGATTGTCTTGCCTCAGCCTCCCAAGTAGCTGGGACTACATAGTGCCTGCTACAATGCCCAGCTAGTTTTTCTATTTTTAGTAGAGATGGGGTCTTGTTCTTGCTCAGGCTGGTCTTAAACTTCTGAGCTCAAGCAATCTACCTGCCTCCCAGAGTGCTAGGATTATAGGCATGAGCCACCTCCCTGGGCCTAACTCCCATAATTTTGAAGGATATTCCTTTTGGTCCTTTGCTTGTAATTCAAGGTCACAGTTCAAATTATGAATAAAAATTTTCAGAAAAAATGATTGCCTTTAGGGAGAGGCCAAGGTGAGAAGAAGACTAACTTTTTTTTTTTT